GGGAAGTATTGTGTGGTGGGGGGGGGGGGGGGGAAGACACCAGGTGAAGTAGAGGATTTAGGACAAGATAAAAGGGCAGAGAGGCAGCTACACAAATTTAAAAGAGAGATCGTCCCTCTTCTTCTTCTTCTTCTTTGTGTTTTGTGGTCCTTCCTCGTCATCTATTACCTACTCCTCATCCCACTTCCCCCATCTTTTTCATTCTTATATCTCATCTATTTAATTCAACGTATATAGTACTAAACAACCTCAAATTACTCATACAACATGCATTTTTAATATATAGTATATGTATTCTTAATTTGATTATGAAGACGGCCATTGTTTGAACTTGCAACTTTTTTTTTTTTTGGTGATGTGATTGGAGGTCCTTTTTTTCTTTGACGTGTGATATATTTATACACATACTCAAGAGCCATGCAGTCACATCAATTATTAACGTTAATTAGGTCCTTATATATACATGTCATTAAATAATACCGCATATTTTGAACAAGAATGAAATTCACGTGTTGGTTAGCTTCAAAGGAGACTGATTTGACAATCTTTAGGAAGAAACAAGTAAATGAATGAAACGTTTGTGAGCGATGGAGGAAATAGAGAGGTCCCTTGGCTATTAGAGCATAGGAGTTGCTTTCATAGCTTTCAAAAGGGCGATGCTACGTTTCCTCGTAGTTTCTTCACACCTCTTCCTTACATCTCCCCCCTCTCTCTCCTCTCTCTCTAAAAACCTTCATGCAAAAAGAAAAGAAAAAGGGAGAGAAAAAGAAAAAGAGCAAAGAGAATGGCGTTCATTTCCATGAAGAAACCTCCCATTGCCATTAATTTTGTTTATTTTGCAGATAATTTATATATATAAATCTTTAATTTGTCATAAGTATTTGCAGAATTCATTTAATCCCAAGCAGACAATACTAGCAATGATATAATCTATCGAGATTAGAAAGATAAAAGAGAATCATTGTTTACAAGTGTTTCAACTACTTGACCGTTTACTAATGAAGATAACAAGCCGAGAAATTTAAATTAAATGGATTTATTCAAATCTTAGATTAGCTATAATTTAATTAATTTATTTGTCAGTGACAATGGAACAGAAGAAAACAATGTGCGTAGCCAGGAGGTTCCACGACCAACCAATTATGGTCCGGTGAGATGAGATTTTGGACCACATATATCGTTCAATGTTCCTTCACCTACTACTAATTTTTTAAATTATCTTAGCTAATCTCAAACCATTGGGCTTAAGCTCTGTAATTAATGCTTAATTAATTTGTCTTAATGATGTTTGATTAGACGCAAGGACATGAGGAGAGCGGTGGTCACCCATCAGGACCACGTAAAACGATAACACCAAAAACATAGACGAGAAACTAAAAACACGGTTTAAATTCGTGTGCAACGTGTCACGTTCTAGAACGTTACACGTTTTTAGGACAAATGCGCTGGAAATTCGTATCGATTTTCGTTTTTATGAAGAAAAAAACCATATCTTTTGAGCCCTAAACTCTAGATTCTTTGGTCGGTCCACGAGGAAAAAGATTTTATGTTATATTTATTGTTCCATTTTCTTTATTCGATTTGAACGATTTTAGTTTGCCCCCCTTCTTATTGAATGAAATTGAAGATATTATCGCCTGATAAAAAAATACAGTTCAGATTTTCTTTGTGCAAGTTCAATTATGCATATATCGGTGGATATGCTTAATAGATTTATCAAGTCACTAACGGAAAAGCAATCGAAAATAACAGGGCTCTCTGGGTGTCAGAAAAACGTTTTCCATAAATATTATATGCAAGCTATTAAATTTAAATGTATGATACGTACATTTCATAATTATAACTAAAAGAATATGCACAGATATCACACAGTATATTAAGTTTGGTCCCTCATTCCGTTTTATAGTTTTGAAGAATACCAATTTTATTTTTTTGCCTTTTTTTATACTTGTGGAGCGAAATATAACCCTAAAAATCTTCAGAATACGTACGCTAAATTAATCTTATATATTTCTGCATCTGCTTAAATTATTTGCTTAATTTTTAAAAGTGAAAATGGCTAATTGAATTGTTTAGGTTCTAACTATATATTTTGGTAAAATTGTTAGGTTCATATATAACTGACGCTTGATATATATATATATATATATATAAGCTTACAATATTGATTTCTTTTTTAGAATAAAAACCCATAAAAATTTATAAATTTATAAAATGGTAAAAAATTAATTTAATTCCTTAATAAATTTATTTCTAAACTTGTAAAATATATTATTATAATTTCCAAACTTATTAATTAATATCAGAAAAAAAACTCATCGATATTGATTCATAAATCAATTTAGAAATTATAGTTACACATTTTACAAGTTTTGGAATTATAATAACACATTTTGCAAGTTTGAGAATAAATTTATCAAGTTAAAAATTTATAAATTAGTTTTTCACCATTTTATAAGTTTAGAATTTTTTTATAAATTTAACCTCTTTTTATATGGTAAACATTAATAATTAGGGGTGAGAGTTTTCATTCGGTTTTAAATATATCGTACCGAATGATAAATTCAATAATATTCATGAATTGAATCATTAAGAAACCCCGAATGATTTTAAAAAAATATCGATTAAACCATAATCGAACAAGACTGGAATTAACAAAACCAAAAATTTCTAAACAAATAATTCTCAAATCAAACCGAATAGAAATTTATCTAAAATAAAAAAATTTCTATAATCAAATAAATATCTGAACGGAAAAAGTAACGAATCGTTTCGAACCCTACGCCGAATGGCCACCTCTACTAAGAATTAGTGACATGGGATTATAAAATGACAAAAACAAGGTAAAAGCTGCAATTAATATTTTATTTATTTATTTACGAGGGAATCTATTACAAGTGGAGGATGTATCTACGTATGTTTGTAACATGTGGTGTATAAATGTAATGTGTGTAAGCATTCATGGCACATGGACTATACAATTGATCATGTATGTATATACGTTATATATATAAACAGTGAGTTTTGTGGAAAGTGTACAATAAATTGAAGCGCGTGGATCAAAAGATGGCACCAATGGGTCAACAGTAAATACGAAATCAAACTATAAAACAACATGCCATTTCATACTAAGAAAAGCAAATTGCAACACCTCAATAATTAGAGCATTGATTTCAAGAGTCTCATCGTTTCCGCAGGCCCCAAATTTTCACGACACTGATATTATATCTATTTACTATTTTCCTCGTTAACCAAACCATGCATTTATATGTTTGACCGGTTTGATTGCCATGTAACGATTTCATGGAATCGTGAGATTGTTATCGGAATGATCATGCATGCGTGCATGCATAGGGTTCTAATTTTCAAGTGATATCCTCTGATCTTGATGAGGAAAGTGTTTAAATATTTTATTATAGAGATTTTGATAAGGATAAAAATACTTATATATATATATATATATGTATATATGGAGAAAAAGAGACGAGGATGGCGGAAAAAGGACAAGAAGCACAGATAGCAGAAGCAGATGATCCATGGGCCCCTACGTATTAGTGTATGACTCTCTCGCCCGTATCTCCATCAATCTTATGATATTAATACATCACATGATCTTCCATACGAAGAATTTATACATCGCTCTGATTAAGGCCGAGAGAGAGAGATAGCGAGAGAGAGAGAGAGAGAGAGAGAGAGAGAGAGAGAGAGAGAGAGAGAGAGAGAGAGAGCGACAGTATCTTACCACGACACAAACTAAACCCAACAAACTACAGAGTATACACCCAGTGCTCTAAAAACCCTAGATTCAGAATTCCCGGTGCTTACAGAACACAATTTTCTCCAAGTGCCCTTCACGAGAAGCCGCATTAAAGAGTGAAATTGCAGTGCGTAGCGGGTCAAAACGGCGAAAGGAAAAATCTTGAAGAAAAAGAGATGAAACGATAGAACCTGTGCGGTTGATCAACGAAGATGACACGCAAGGGAGAGATGGGAGGGGGGGAGGGAGAGAGAGAGAGAGAGAGAGAGGGTGTTTATCAGTTAGGCAGGACTCATTTTCCACATCCATATTAGGTCAGGCACAGCGGCAAAAGCAGCTTTAACCTTTTCTCCTCCTCCTTCCTCTTAATTCTTCGATTCTTTCCTCTCAGTAAATTAGGGTTTTTCCCACTTCTTTTTCTCCTTTCAAGAAGAGAGGCGTGAATATAAAGAGACCGTGCCGTCGGCAAGGCGGCTTCCATTTCCAGTTAATTTTCTCGGAGACATAATTAGAGGCATATATACAGCAGCAGCAGGAGGTGTGTATATATACATATATATATATATATACCCCAACCCACCAGATCTTCCATTTTGAATTCCTACGCGTAAAGATTTCTGATCTTGCGGAAACGTGATTGTACAGAAACCCGCTTAAAACGGGCAAGAAATCAAAATCCGAAGGTGGGTCGGTGGGGATTTCATGCAAAAGGGGCGAATTCTAGTACACATCATAAAGAGATCTGAAACTTTCCTAAAAACAAGATGAACTTGTCGGTGACGAGAACGCAAGAAGGGCTTGAAGAGGAAGAAGAAGGAAATCGCCTGGAATTTGGAGGGTCATCGAGCAACATCGAGAAGGAACACATGTTCGACAAGGTTGTAACGCCGAGCGACGTCGGGAAACTGAACCGCCTCGTGATCCCGAAGCAGCACGCCGAGAGATACTTCCCCTTGGACTCGTCGTCCAACGAGAAAGGCTCGCTTCTCAACTTCGAGGATCGGACAGGGAAATCTTGGAGGTTCAGGTATTCTTACTGGAACAGCAGCCAGAGCTACGTCATGACAAAGGGTTGGAGCCGCTTTGTCAAGGACAAGAAGCTCGACGCCGGTGACACCGTCTCCTTCCAACGAGGTGTCGGAGAAATCTGCAGGAACAGGCTGTTCATCGATTGGAAAAGACGACCACAGTTCCCTGATCCCACATCCATCCCACACTTCGCCGGAACCATGTTCCCTAGACCCGTCGTCACCGTCCCCAGAAACTACGGGAATTTCTTGTATCAAAATCGTCACCATTATCAATTTCCGCCAGGTTCGGGATATGGGTTTGGCGATTCCAAGGGGAGATACTACGTTAGGTCACTCGGGAGAAATCCGGCGGAGGAGAATACGGTGGTCCACGGAAGAGCTCATCCGTTTGTTGCTGCGACGGCGGTGGGGAAGAGGCTGAGGCTGTTTGGAGTGGACATGGACTGCTGTACGGATCCGGAGGAATCTTCGTCTTCTGGTGGGAGTGTGCCACGTGGCGCGTCGGGTACGGCTTTTTCTTCCTCTTCGCTTCAGCTGAGGCTCGCCAGCAGCGAGGAGTCTTCCATGGTCGAGGCGGCTGATGATCACTTCTCCAAGAAAGGGAAGTCTTCCTTGTCTTTCGACTTGCACATATAAAATCATAGCTATGATTGATCATATATACGTCCATACAGAGAGACCGGAGGTGGTATATGCATCGTAAAGATTCCATTTTCACCAAGATTTCAGGAAATAACACTTAATTTCAGAAATATTGTGAGAAGAGGAATTGGAATCACTTCATGATCAACTCAATGGAATCTGGGTCTTTGTTTGGTCCTATTTGTTCTTCCACAGCTTGAAGTTTACACAAATTGTGTATAGCAACCAGGATATGCATTGAGCTTCCCAATGCTTAATTAACAAGTTATTCTCTCGCACACATTATGATGTCTTCTCTTGAATAAAGATCAATGTTTTTCATGCTATTTTGCTTCGTATAATAGATTACAATAGCTAGATTCAGGGTACATTTGCAAAATAAATTTTTAAAAAAAATATGGAAAACTGAAGGAGGGAGGAAGAAACAGGAGTGGATTTTATGTACGGAATGAACCGGGATCGGGATCAGTGTAAGCTCATATCTCTCTTTCTTTGTAATGTCTCTCATTGCGGTCAGACATTTGCAGAGCTGGGATTGTCACCTTGTCTTTGAAAAAGTGAAGTTTTACAAATGTCGTCTATTGTCATTATTGGTCGTCTCTTTTGTTTCACGGTTTCCTTTGCTTTGTTACTATTTACTGGTTGCTGCTGCTGCTGCTGCTGCTGCCGCTGCCGCTGCTCATTACTTATGCAGACATTGCAAGAGACGAGCAGAAAAAAAAAAACTTTTTTTTTTTATATATTCTCTGAAAATAGATGAAGAGAGAGAGCTTTTATCGGTCCTGCGGTAAAGATTGGGAAAATGGTATCATCTGTTTTCGAATTTGCTGATGCATTATTTATTGAACCATTACCCATTTCTGCCATGTTTTTTTTATATATAAAGATATATTATTTAGATAAAATCTAATCATATGTCTAAATAATATCTCTATATATTTTGTCTATGCTATTGCTTTCATCAGCCTGCCTTCTTGTCTGGTATCAATACAACACTACACACATTCGCTCTCCATTAATTTACCATCTAAAAATTTTTATTTGTATATGTTATGATTACAGATATATGAACAAAATATTCATGTTCTGGTGATGTGTATATATATGGACCATTACATATACATCATTGGACCATCATCTTGACAGAGATTCTAAAATAACAATGTGTATGCATGCAACATACACTTACATATATATATGTCTAGATTAGTATGTATGGCATGTTGTCATAGTTTTATCTTATGCTGATTTCGGCATAGTTTTGCATGTGCTTGTCACTCTCTATTAGAGATTCCACGCAATAGTTTTCCTCTAATTAAATTACATGTTTTGTCTGTCAAAAACTTAATAGTTACGCATGTTCATAAGAAATTACAATGACACGACCGAGTTGCATTGAAAATTCTCACGGTGAATGTGTGTGTATATGTATGGCGTATCTCTACAAAGTTCCCTAACGAGTTCCGAAGCAAACAAAACGTTTTGTCGGAGAATTGAACTTGGAGGCTTCTTGAACTGTCGGTTCAGAGATTTTTTATGTTCATATATATATTATATGCTTATTTATTGAACTGCAGGATTACAAGAAGTTCAAATATTGTTATCGAAGTTGAGGAAAACTACGCGCAAGAGTCTTGTACGCTTGTGCTCATATTATGGCATTGGCAGGTACATTATAATACAGTTTAATCATTCCAATTAACCACAAATGATAATAATGTTTGTCACATATTCCTTTTGGTCAGCTGTTTTCTTTCGTTTAATTTGTTTTAAAATGTCACATATTCAATTTCAGTTAATTTAACAAAACAAATAGCCGACGGATGAGGTTCAAAACCGAAGACAAAACTCGATAACGTTTTATTTCAGTTCCACCCTACTTTTCCCATTTTATTGGAACTTGGCCAAATCCATCCCTCTCAGATTTTTTCAACGTCCGAGAAGATTTTCTTAATTGAAAACTAGCTCTGTATACCATTCATTACATTATCAGCGGTCATCAAATCCTGTTATTTAATTTTAAAATGACGGAATTAAGTTAAAGTTGTTTACAGTTTATAATTTATAACACTATCCTTATTTACTAATTAATTTTATATTTTATCCGTTATTTTATCTTGTAGTAAAGAGCAGTTTTGTAGTCAATTCTATAAGTTTTTTTTTTAAATCATAGATCCAGTTACATAATATATTTAGTTGTAAAAACAAAATTGGCACAGTAGACGTTTTTCTTTAAATGGTCCAGTCAAATTCAGATGCATTATATAATCCATTAAAAAAAAACTACCACAATTTGTTCCCAAAGAAATCTATAATTTTCAAGAGGAAAAATATAAATAATGGTTATTTAATTCGAGCTATTTTGTAGGTCATTTGAATAGTTAAAATTTTGGAATTTAATTGGGCCTTGGAGCCCTAGATGGAGCAGAAGGTTCAGAGATCAAATTTTGGGCTGGATTCATCGAACGGCCCAATTACCACTTTCAACATTTGTACCACCTCATCAATGCTAAGTCATCATAAAGACCTGAACTTGCAACATCGGATGAATCTTTCGAGAAGCCAATATTTGCGCTGATCATCTTGCTTCTATGGGGCACCAACTACCGTTCGGGGTTACTTACTTTGATCATCCTCCTCTGTTCTTTTTTCGGTCTTTAGAAGCAGATAGAATGGGGGTTACTATCCTAGAAATTGTCCTGTTTAGTTTAAGCTAAAATTTTCCTTGTATCCAAAAAAAAAGAGGGTTACTTTCTAAACAATGCAAATCGGTATTTATAGACCCACGTTCAACCGGAGCAAGTAGTCATTTACATGTCGGATATATATATATTTTTAGATTAATTATGAGATGTCCTAAATGACGTTTTGGTCACCTTTAACACTTGAATATTGAGGCTAATCATTTTTATTCGTTCTAGATCAGTGCACGAAACGATAAAAGAATGGTTTTAATAATTATTTTGTTTTTAGATTAGGGTTCGAAACCCTAACCTCTCGTTAAAGGACGAAGAACCAACCCTCCAAATTATTATACTTGATTTCTTTTGTGCTTGAGCATATATTCCCCATTTGCTAATACGCCCAAAGTCCGGCCTCTGGATTCTGAGATAGGTTAATGAAGCATCTTCCAACCCAATTATTTTGTGCATAATTCGAATTTAATACCATCATTGCGTATATAAAATATTAAAAGGGGGGGGGGGGG